TATTAATTATATTATAATATTGGAAAGATATTAGAAAGATACTTGACAGCACATAACAACACAATTAGAAAGATATTAGAAAGATTAAAAGTAATGACATTTAACAAAATGTGTATGATAGAGTGAAGGGAAAATGAATTTGCTTTGGGAATTAGAGGAAGATCATCGATGAGCTGGATTGATTCCGTGACCAGGGTAATGAGGGTAGTGAGTCAGAGACAGTAAAGTTGGCACAGGATAGAGCACATTTCGGGGCTATCGTCCATAGGGTCGCTATGAGTCACAAGAGACTTGATGGTACATGACAACAACAACAACAACAACAACAACAAAACCACAGGGGAGTGGGGGAAAGAAAAAGAGAAAGAACCATTGACGGGAAGAGTGCTGGTAGGGATTAGAATCCACGACACAAGACCACATACACACACCTCGTCGAATGGAAAACCAATCTGTTCAGTGAACTTACAGCCAAGTCACAACAAAAGGTTTTTAAATTTTTGAAAGTCATTCAATAAAATGAATTAAGTGCACAATCTGTCCTTTCCATGTTAGTGTCACAACATGTTGATTAAAGTCCCATTCATACAGCTGTTCAAGTCATCTCACAGGGTTTCCAAGCAAATACTTGGGCTGGAAAATTTTGTTCTGGGAAACAGGATAATAGTCTATCTATCTATCTATCTATCTATCTATCTATCTATCTATTATCTCTCTATCATCTATCTATCTCATCTATCATCTATCTATAATCTACTAATCTATCATCTATCTTATCTATCATCTATCTATAATCTACTAATCTGTCATCTATCTTATCTATCACCTACTAATCTATCGTCTATCTTATCTATCATCTATCATCTACTAATCTATCTAGCTTATCTATCACCTACTAATCTATCCTCTATCTTATCTATCATCTATCTATCATCTACTAATCTATCATCTATCTTATCTATCATCTACTAATCTATCATCTATCTAATATATCATCTATCTATCTTTCTATCTATCTAATCTATCATCTATCTATTTTATCTATCATCTACTAGTCTATCATCTATCTACCATCTAATCTATCATCTATCTATCTAATATATCATCTATCTTTCTATCTATCTAATCTATCATCTATCTATCTATCTATCCAGGGTGACAAAGATATGGAAAT